GGGATTGGGAGCACATGCTCATTCTCGACAGGCTCGTGCCTGCACAGAATATCCGCTGGCACTCGACCGAGTGCAATTAACTCTCTAAGGCGCTGGCTAGACTGTAACCTGGCAAGCTCGGGCCTCGAATCACTCCGTCTCATTCTCAGGGTTTCCGCAACTGTCCCAGAAGCTTGCTCGCGTCTCTCTCTCTCGAGTGGGCCTCTGGGTGCAGGACCGATCAGGCGCTCTCCCCCGATGCTCCGGATGGCTGTGCGCGCGGCGGGAATGAGCTGGCGACCGACTTCGTGATCCGAATCGATTGCGATGATGAGGCGTCCTTTGTTCTCCTGACCCGATCCCTCTTTCTTGTTCCGCTTCCACTGCCAGTGGAGGACGACCTCTCCCACCTCCAGCATCTTGAGACCCTTGAGAGATTTCTCGTAGATCTCGCGAAGCGCCTTGCCCCATGCCGTCTCCCGCTTGGCTAGAAAAATTAGGGCGGTCATGAAGATGTGGAGATGAGGAGGCCCGCGACTTTTGAAGTCCACCACCTCGCCCTTCTTCTTTTTCTCGGCTAGTTCGCTCGAAATCTCCCGGCAGCGCTTGCCCGCGTCCTCCATCTGGTCCGTAACTCCGTCCTCTACGCTCTACGAAGTCGAGCGCGTAGGTGGTGCAGACGGTGGCCGTCAACTCTGCGATGGCCCTGCTGTCCGCCAGCACTAAGCGAGCGATGATGAGTACGATCTGCCCGATGCTCTCCTGGTCTCCTCTGCCGGCTTGTAGCTTGCTTTTGACGTCCTTGGCCAAACGAGCTCGGCTGACTTCTCCCCCAGCACGTCGGGGCACCTGAAGCCAATCTGGCGTCTCCAGTTCCATCTCTGTCGATCGGTTCACTATCGGGATGAAGGGATGGCCGCACTTCTCGAGGAAGATGGCTACGGATATGACAACAGAGATCCCCAGTGTCGGCGGCATGATACTCACACAGGACGCATTTGAGGGACTTCACGGGTGTCTCGGGGAGGAGCGTCGTCGCACCTCGAGCGGGACAGTGACCCTGGAACATTGCTCGCTGGAGATGTTTATAAGCATTACCTTGACACCCAAAGACTCGACGACACACGATGCAGGAGTTCGTGGGGGTCAACACCGAGCTGAGGTTTCTAACGAAGTGGATCCTCCTCATACGGTTAAGCAAATCTCGTCTGGTTCGGAACTCGCACCCGCAAATCTTTTTGCCTGTCTCCGTGTCAAGCTGCCAATCACACTGCCACTGCGAAGGCGTCTCGTCTGGTGGAGGCTCGACTGGGTCAGCGCACACCGTCTGCATGCGAGGCGGTGGGGCTGCATGCGAGAGACAACGGGCGCGAATCTCTGTGAAATCGAGCTGGAGAAGCTCCGTCACTACGTCCTGGTCTAGCAGCCTCCCAGGGTTCTGACTCACGAACTCGCAGACGTCCAAACCCGAATCCAGGTCCTCAGCGGCCCTCAGGAAGTCCCCCTGGAACCTACGGAGCCACGGAGAAGCCTCTGGTCCAGGAACGCCCCCATGAAGATGTCCACCCCGATCTCCAGTAACCTCCAAGGACCCGAACAGCAGGCAGAGCTCCTGGGAGTGCTTCTGGGGGCCCCCTGGCCCAGCCCACGTACCAGTTCAACCTGCGAATCGTCATTTCGACGTCCGACTCGGGGATCCTCCAGTGCTAAGATCTGTTTCGTCGTCATCGTGTTCATGTGGTCTGCGTCCGTCCGTGTCGCTCGGCCTTGCATGGCCCGTCGTCCGAATCTAGCGGTCTGTCCGTCAAGCTTTCCGTAGTGGCTGGGGGTGAGGGGGAGCGGCTCGATGCCCGAGAGGGCTGCGTTCTGGACGTAGCTCAGGAAGGGAGTGCGAAGCCAACGATGCGGCAATGAAAGAGACCATACACGACCGAGTGAATAAAAAGAATCTGCGCAAGCGGCACGTCTGCGGCTCACCTCCGTCTCAACGGATTGATTGGCATGAAGCATCGGCCCCAGATATCGCACGGCGTCTTTGAAGAGTCCTGGAAGAAATTCTGGATGTGAACGAGCCCATCTTTTGCAAGTAGCGGCCCCTGGTCCGTGGAAGTACATCTGGAGTTCCTGCTTCGTCGGATTTCTAGCATATCCCACCTCCATCAGAGCGCGGTCGAGAGAATCATCGATGTCCTTCATGGTGTCGAACAAATCTTTGACCGAGATGGGTACAGGAACCAAATGCATTTGAAATACGTCATCTGCGTAAGTGCAGCCCCCCCACGTGTGCCCTCAAGTCTCGCCACCTGGCCGTCAACTGATTAGCGAGGGCATCCCAATGCTGGATCGAATACTTACATTTAGTCAGTGGTCGTGAGAAAGTGCCCCTAATAACTGAACAACAGATGGATCCCCCATCAAACCGCCTTCGCCTGTCTTCAGAGTCACATGGCCCTCCACGGTTTCAAGGGTGATCGTGCTCATCTTAAATCGTTGGATGCACAAGTCGATGTTCTCGGGCTTCGCGTGCATGTGGACAGTCTGCTCGAGCTCGTCCCACTTGCCACAGGCGAACGCGTTGCTAAGGTCCTTGTAACTAATGGCGAAGCAATGTCCTGCCGGTCGAAGTCTCCAACCAGTGATCTGATTGACAAAAATTGCATCTTCTCTGCGCTTTCCTTTGACAAAGCCGTGTTCAAAAACTGTATGCGGGATGTAGAACATGTCGTGGTAGTAAGCCTTGCCCATGGCGTCCATCACGTGGACGGTGCGTCTTCCCTTCGGTCCTGGGGCGGCGCTCTTCCGTAATTGGGCTCCGTAGCTGTGGTGCCACTGGATCGGAGTTCTGTTCGTGGAGCGTATCTGGCGAAAGGCAGCCTCCAACAATGATTGAAACTGCTGCATGTCAGGCAAGCTAAGATCCCACCCAGGCCCATAACCCTCGGCCTTCATATTCAGCAGGGGCTGCAAACATATCAGCCAGAGTTCTGTGGGAGGTGTCCCAGGTGGTACAGCCCAGGAGGATGAGGAGGAGGAGGATGAGGAGGAGGAGGAGGAGGAGGAGGGGGAGGAGGAGGAGGAGGAGGAGGAGGAGGAGGAGGAGGAGGAGGAGGGGAGGGGAGCAAGGGGAAGGGGAGCAAGAGGAGGGGGAGGAATAGGGAAAGATGAGGGGGAAGCGGAAGGGAACGAGGCGGAGGAGGACCAGCACAAACCCAAAATGTTTCAACGACGCTGCAACGAACTCTCCCCTCCAAAGTCCCCTTTTCGTCAGTGACTGAAGGCAGTCCTGCTCACTGTGCGAAGCGCGCCCTTAAAAGACGAGCTCCCCATGCTTAGGCCCACAGCCTACATATGTGGAAGCTCCATCTGGAAAACAACTGTCATTTTCATCACTCGAACTGTAAGAGATGGGGAGAGGGGGGGTCATATAGCCCTGTGACTTGCCCGATGACAACACCACCTGGACCAAACAAAAGCGCCCTACATCCGTGCAGCTGTTGCAAAATGGCCTACTTCTGCAGGTAAGTGCAACGACGTCTCAAACAACAGCGCCACATTGAAACGGAACCGCCCTTTAGCCGTGCAGCTGCTGTTTGATGCAGAGGGGCCATCTCTACGCTAAACCGACGCTACTCGGCGCTAGTTAAACCGACGCTACATCGGTGCTGCCTCTCCCACTCCCGAACGCCCAATCGACGCCAACCGACGCTGAAGGCGGAACTGCGAGGGCATGCCACGGAACTGCGAGGGCATGTACACCAGGCCCCCGTGCTTTGCGACCGAGCCAACGGGACCGACACGATCGAAACGGCCCCGGCACGGCGACGAGCACCGCCGGCGGCGGCGGGGGCGCCCGGCAGCGGCTCGTGGGCGCCGCCGAGCGCCGCGTGGCGCGGCGGCAGCGCGTGCCGCGTGGGCTCGGCGGGCTCGGCGCCCGCCGAGGCGCCGCCGCTGGGGACGGCGGCGGGGCCGGCGCGGTCGTGGCCGAGCTGCCGCTCCTCGCGCAAGGGGGGGGGGGGCAGGCCGCGGAGCCGCGAGCCTCGGGGCCCCGAGCCCCGAGCCAAAGGACCTCGGGCCTGGAGGGGGAGGAGGAGGAGGAGGAGGAGGAGGAGGAGGAGGAGGAGGAGGAGGAGGAGGAGGAGGCACGACGATCCCTGCCCTCGGCCCACGGGTCTCGGCCCTCGAGCCTGGAGCCCCGATCCTCGATCCCCCGGCCCTCGGCCCTCGGCCCTCGACAATCGAGCCCCGAGCCTCGAGCCTCGAGCCTCGAGCCTCGATCCTGGACCCTCGGCCCTCGCCCTACGACCTTCGGGCCTCGAACCTGAGCCCTCGAGCCTCGACCACCAGTGCACGGTTTGGCCTCGTGTCTCGAGATGCTCAAAGACGATCCAGGTGTGCAGCGGCTAGATGCTCGATGCTCGATCTTCGGTTGGCCCAAAAGGGGGGTCCAGCTGAAACAAAGTGGTGCAATAGATATGGGGCAATTGTATTGCAAATTTACTGCGCCGGAAAATTGTCTTGCATTGTATTGCACATGTACTGCGCCGGATAATTGTGTTGCATTGTGTACTGCAACTCATGCATTGCGCGCGAGAATCCAGCAATACATCTGCGCCCCCGGGATGTACTGCACGCCCCCCATCTGTTGCAACCCGCAAAATCTGCTGCACCAGTGCTGCTGCACCACCCCCTCGTCGCTGGACCCCCTTCTTGGGTCAAGCAGACGGTCTCGAGGCTCGATGCTCGATCCTCGACCCTCACGCCTCGCGTGGTCCGGGGGTGTCCGCGAAGAGGCGCGTCCAGAAAGAGGGGTTGCGCATACCGCGCTCCGAGGCACGCGCGCGGCCCGGGGCGGGAGGGGGGGGGGGGGGCGTGCTGAAAGACGAAGGTAAGGTTAGGTCGGGCCTGTGCCCCAACAGGGGGATTCTGGACGAACAAAAAAAGATGGCCAAAACAGATTCAACAATGTTCAACAAATGACACAGCAATCGTCCCCATACTGTTTGTTGCCTACTTTTGAATACTCCCCCCCCCCTGTCGAGGGACAGGCCCGACTTCAAGATAAGGGGGAACACCGACGACATGACATTAAAACTCGGAGGTCCGCGCGGACTTCTCGGATCGGCGCTACATCCCCCCCCATGGCGCGGAGCGCGCCGGCGCCCCACAGTGGGGGCAGGGGGGCTGGATAGGGGAGAGCCAGCGGGACAGGGTGACCCTCCGCACTCATCCCCCCCCCTCCTCTCCTATCCCTCCTCCCCCCCTCCTCCTCCCTCCGGCCTCCTCCTTCCTCCTCCCTCCTCCCTCCGCCCTCCCTCCTCCCTCCATCCTCCTACACACGTTGTAATACCCGCATCAAGTCGAGGCATCCAGTCAAGCGAGCTCTCCCTCCTCCCTCCTCCTGCGCCCAACGTGGGAGGTCGAGGCATGGGTGGCTTTTGACCGCCGGGCAGGGCGGGAGGAGGAGGAGGAGCAGGAGGAGGAGGAGGAGTAGGAGGAGAAGGAGGAGGAGTAGGAAGAGGAGGAGGAGGACCTCCTCCTCCTCCTCCTCCTCCTCCTCTTATTTTTATCACTATTAGTATTATTATTAGTATTATTGATATTATGAGTATTATCATTATTATTATTATTATTATTATTATTATTACTATTATTATGATTATGATGATTATTATGAGTATTATTACTATTATTATTATTACTAATTATAAGTATTATTTGTGTTATTAGTATTGTTATTATTATCAATATTATTAGTCGTCTTCATCTTCGTCTTCGTCTTCGTCTTCGTCTTCTTCTTGTTATTACTGTTTTGTATTATTATTGTTATTCTTACTATTATTGTTATTATAATTATTATCATTATTATTAGTACTATTACTATTACTATTATTCCTCCTCCTCCTCCTCCTTCCTCCTCCTTCCTCCTCCATCCTCCTCCTTCCTCCTCCTCCTCCTCCTCCTCCTCCGCCTCCGCCTCCGCCTCCGCCTCCTCCTCCTCCGCCTCCTCCTCCTCCTCCTCCGCCTCCTCCTCCTCCTCCTCCTCCTCATCCTCCTCCTCCTCTCAACTCGAGGCTCCATCCCTGCGGCCCCCCAGGGGATGGTGGGGGCCCAGACGGCGCTGCGGGGCACGACGCCTCCTCCTGCCGAGGCGATCCGATCCGATCCGCCTGCTCCTCCTGCCCGCGTGCGAGGGGGAAGGGGTGTGACTCAAACCCCATCGCACCGCGAGCTAAGACGAATTTCCGGTCTCGAGGGCCCTCAACCCGGCCCCAGGACCGCCGACAAACAACTCGGAATGATGGCCCCTGGGAACGTGCAGAGAGGTCTGAAGGGACCACGTCTCGAAGAGGTCGAGCCGTTGCATACCTGGGGAGGGGAGGTGGAGGAGGGGGAAGAGGAGTACCCAGGAGCAGGCGGACTCAAGGATCGAACTTCGAGGATCGATTTGTTTGTGTCTTTCGCCCTTTCTGGTGCTCCAGGGGCGCCCTCGTGTCCACGGCCGGGATCTACCCCGAAATTCTAGTCAAAAAGCCACCCAGGTCAGGTGGGGGGGCGGTATGCGAGGGGTAGGGGAGGGGGGGGCGGTTGTGGTGGTGGTGGTGGTGGTGGGGGGGGGGGCAAGGCATCGGAGGCGTCCAGGCAAGTTTCTCACAAATCAGGAGGACTTAGAAGAGGCCCGTTCACCTTCATGTAGAGTTGCTCTCCTCGCCCCACCTTTCCACGCACCGCCGAACCTTTTCCGCTGAATCCTGTCAACCGTCCGCCTGCTCCTCTTCAGAGCTGGTGGCGGAGGTCGGGGAACCAAACGTCTACCAAACGTCTACCAACGTGTTCGTGATGTTCTCGATTTCCCTCGTTTTGTCTTCAATCCGCCTTTACCGCTAAACGAAATCGAACCGAAAACGGCCCACGAAATCGCCAAAACACCGTTTAGGTCCAGCCCTGGTCTACCCTGAGTGCCAGCGTTGACCGCTGACTGTGGGTTCTTGCGCTCTCGATGTGCGCCCTGTGTTGGACAACAGGTGCAGTGAAATCTGTATGGTGCAGCCCATGTGGTGCAACCTGTGCGGTGCAAGCCATGTGTCAGGCGACGGCAAGCATGGATTAAGAGGGCGGAGATTAGCGACGGGTCCCGTGTCCATGGGAAATCGCGGATTTCCGCCGCCACGCGGGGCGGCACCGGCCGCACTTTGGGGAGGGCACCTCCCCCGATCCATGGATGTGGCGACCGCGCGCCAAATCCATGGATCGCTAATCCATGTTTGCGCGCCCCCGAATGCGGGGGAAGCCGTGTGACTCCACGCGTGCGGCGCAAGCCTCTTGCGTGCACGCTGCGTGCTGCAAGCTCTGGGGCGCACTCCGTGCGGGGTGCGACTCCTGTGCGGCATACCGCTCGCAGGTGCGGAAGTGCCGGCCGGCGCTCGGGGCGCTCACGAGGCGCCCACGGTCGGGGACTGGGCGACACGCCCGCACAAAAACTGCCCGCAGACGCGCGCAGCACACACCCAGACATGCGACGCACTGCTTTTTTCAGGACGGCGTCGCTGAAGTCCCGATCCTTTCCTCGGGGCCAGCTGTTCATCCTGAGTCCTGAGTCCGAGTCCTGAGTCGTTTTTTCGGCGGTCCCGAGGCCCGGCGAGGGCCCCCCGAGGCCGAAAATTACCAAAAACCTCCCGTCCTGACTTTTTCACGACGCGAGCATGCCTGGGCACGACATGCCCACGGGCGGGCATCGGCACAAAAGTGCGGAAGTGCCAGCCAACGCCGGGCCACAAGCTTGAAAAAAGCCAGCCAGTGCGCGGATGGAGCACTCACGAGTCTCCCCAGGGGGGGGGACCGACCGGCGGTGTTAGACGAGCGCGTTCGACTACTTGCAGAGTAACTACTCGCAAATTGCCTGGATCCTCCGCGGGAGATCTACGATAAATTACATCAAAGCAGACATGTGTTTCTTGGACGTTTGCGAGTAGGCACTTTGCGAGTAGTGGAACGCGCTCGGCGAGGTGTGCCCGTCGCGCCCAGATTGAGGAGGCCTCTTGGGCGAAACGCATGTTTCGGCCAGGCGGATCCCTAGTCGGAGCTCAATGACCGCCGCAGTGTAGCAGGAATGGCACTTGGGTAGTCGCCCAGAGGCTGCTTACGGGTCCATTTGTACGCAGATTGTGAGGACCTCCTGCTTTTGCCCAGCAGGCGAGTCTCCTCTCGTAGCCCCATGGTCGTGAGCACCGCGATGAAGCAGGTATTGCATTTGGGCCACCCTAGGTGCAGCCGCCTTGGGGTATGACAAGGGCCCTTTCGCGCCAAGATTGTGGCGACCTCCTAAGGGTGCCACACCTGCCAGTGGGAGAGATGGACAGGCAGACAGGCAGACAGACAGGCAGACGGACCCCCACGAATGTCCAGACTCACTCAGCTCCGAATCCAAACTTCAAGCCCAATCATGCCCAGACCCGTCATACCCAGCCACAGTAATGTTCGTGCGGCGTCGGCGCGCGCAAATGTTTTTGACGCTAAGTCGATCGTTCAACCTTGAGTCGATCGCGGCCCCGAGCGTTCCGGGTTGAACTCCATCGGGTCCTGTGGCGTGGCTAGCAAGCATGCGTAACGAGATCGTTCAATCGTGAACACGCGCAAGTGCGCCAGACTTCAATCTTGAACGCCTTCGCCGGCGGCGCTGGCGCGCCAACGCCTCATGAACTCATCGCACACGAACACACACATCCATCCTGGCTCGTGTTCTGTCCTGGATCGTCTGCTGACGCGGCCCGCCAGAGGACGGGCCTCCCCGAGGCCGAACACGACGACAGGCACACATACACCCTCGAACTCCGATGCGAGCCGCACGTGCACGCTCCGGGCCTTCGCCCGAAGCAGGGTGTGCGTGCATGACCTGTTGAACGTCTTCGGATCGCAGGCCCATCCCATGCGGGCAATATTTCTATCCATATCCAGTGCGTCTTGGACTTTCTTGGAAGGGGCGCCGCAAGGCCGAGGC